AAAAAAAAATGGCATTTCTTAGCAGCTTAATGAAATTGGGATTATTAAGATAAGTAAATGTTGAATTATGCCACAAGAGCCCCATCCACAGAGCAAGAACTATGAGCTAATTTTCTTGGCAGCTGCTCCACCATTTAGATGAAAATGCCTATACCTATAAAAAAAAAATTTTCAGATTTAGTTCAGTTTAATTTGGTTTGTCATGTATTTTTGTATTGAAATGTGTTCTATTATTTATCCAATGCCTTTTTTGCTTGTTTCTTCCCAGGAAGCAAATAGCGTGGATAAAAGCTCGACAAAAACAGAGAGTGCTTGGCTCTTCAGAATGTGGTACGGCTTTGACCACAAGTATCCTTTGATTATAACGGTCTCTCAAATACTTCCACATGGCAGAGGATAACTTCAAGTGCTTAATCACTGAGGTATGCGCTCCTGCTCGTCAAGAAACACAGAAAGGTAAAGCAAATTCATAGCCATGCTTATGAAAAAGAATGGTTTCAAAAAATAAAAAGCTGTGTTGTCCATACTTCAGCGTTACAAAGAGCTAAAGTGAAATATCTCAGGTCAGCTGTAATTGGCGTGTTCATGGCAATCTAGGAGCCCTGGTGGCGCAGTGTTTAAGAGCTACGACTACTAAGGTCAGCAGTTTAAATACACCAGCTGCTCCTTGGAAACCTCATGGGCAGTTCTACACTGTCCTGTTGGGCTGCTGTGAGTTGGAATTGATGGGATTTTTTTTATGGCAATATAATATTTTCTAATGCCAGATAATAAAATCATACAGTCCTGGAGAACTGATTTTACTGTCCTTCCTACTTCTGGTCAAGTTGGTGTTCTATGAACAGTCTCTTTGGTCAGGATGAGCCAGAAACAGCTCACGCACCCTTCTCCCAAGAACCTGTTCGTGTGCTTTTGTCTCATGCTCTGGGAAAAATGAAGATGCGTCCAAAAAGAATGAGTTTGGTTCATCATATTATAAAACAGCAGCACTTTGTCTTCCTGGCAGACTTGAGTAAGTTGTTGTTGTTTTTGTTTTTCCAGTGAAGGGCAATTTTAAAATTCTACAATCAGTATAAACATAGTAGCTCAGATACACGTGGCCCTGCCCTGTGATTCAAAGGGGTGAGAAGGCAGGCCTGAAGAGCTTTGCCATTGTGAGCTGCAGTAAGTGGTCCATCTCTAATCCCAGGCAAAAGACGCCACAGAAGAAAGGAAAGGACTGTGCTGAAAATTGAATGCATTGGGGTCTTTGTAGCTAGTTTTCCACACTCACAAATCCGTCTCCTTTCAGGGAGAAAATGTCAGTCACTGGGTGATTTTAAGCACATAAGCAATGATTAAGGCTACAACAGTAGGGAAGGATGAACAATTGAAACGGGGAAAAAACCCAAAGACTAGGCAAAGAAGAGGAGGGGAAAATGGAAAGGGGAGAGGAGGCAAGAGAAGTACATGAGATTCACAATAGGAAGAAAAGAAAATCAAATTAGCGAAATGACTGTAGAGAACAGAAAAAGAAATTAAGTAAGAAAGAAGTGAAGAGAAGCCAACTGAAGATTGCAGAGATAAGCAAAAGGAAAACCAAGTGAGAATTAGAAAGCAATTGTGCCAAGGCAGAGCATTTCAAGAATTGCAAAATGGTGATATAGAAGGTAGAAGTTCTTTTGAGGTTACCATTTTGTTTTTCCATAGCTTTGTTATCTGTGGTCAGATATCTCACCTCGCTCAATCTTGAGCTTGTATGGGTGTCATGGATTGAATTGTGTCCCCCCAAAATATCTGTCAACTTGACTAGGCTATGATTCCCAGTATTGTGTGATTGTCCACCATTTTGTCATCTGATGTGGTTTTCCTATGCGTTGTAAATCCTACCTCTATGCTGTTAATGAAGTGGGATTAGTGGCAGTTATGTTAACGAGGCAGGACTCAAATCTACAAGATTAGGTTGTGTTTTAAGCCAATCTCTTTTGAGATATAAAAGAGAGAAGTGAGCAGAGAGACATGGGAACCACCAAGAAACAAGAGCCAGGAGGGTAGCGCATCCTTTGAACCTGGGGTCCCTGTGCTGAGAAGCTCCTTGACCTGGAAGATTGATGACAAGGACCTTCACCCAGAGCCGACAGATAACAAAAGCCTTCCCCTGGAGCTTCACCCTGAATTTGGACTTCTAGCCTCCTAGACTGTGAGAGAATAAACTTCTGTTTGTTAAAGCCATCTACTTGTAGTATTTCTGTTATAGCAGCACTAGATAACTAAGACAATGGGCCACATGTGTTACCACCACCTTAAAAGCAGTCCATCTTGGCCATTAACTGGTTCTTGGAGGTTCTGGTAGGAATCCTGGATGGCACAAATGGTTAAATGCTCAACTACTAACTGAAAAGTTGGCAGTTCAAGTCCATCCAGAGGTAGCTCAGAAGAAAGCCCTGGTAATGTTCTTCTGAAAGATCACTGCCATTGAAAACCCTGTGGAATGCATTTCTGCTCTGAACACATGGAGTTGCCATGATTTGGAATCAACTCTACGGCAACTGCTTTGGTTTTGGTTTTGGAGGTTCTGGTATCTCATTAACTACCAGAAGACTCTCTGGCCTCTCTAAGAGAAGCTGGCTCTTAGAAGCTTATGCTAGATTATGCCTCTGGTTGATTTTCTCATCTGGAAACAAAATTTGACCCTGCCATTGCTTATAAGTATCTGATAACCAAATTTGTATGAAGTTATAGCAATTCGATTAAAGAGTAAACATAAAGGCTGCTTGGGTACGCTGAAATGCACAGCAGGAAAATGCTAAATCGAACATGAGATAGAAGATGCTTTTGTTCAAATTGTGACAGAGCTGTGAGGAAGGCTGCACAATGAAGAAAAGGTATAAAGTGGAAAAAGTAACTTGGAAGCAAGCAAATGAACATGGGAGCCCACAGAACTTTTTAGCTGAGATTTAGATGATGTCACAGTTTTTATCTCACTTTTCACGAGCATTTTATTTCCATGTGATTATGGACAGGCTAGCAAAAATGAAGGCAGATTTACACTCTCAGTAATACCTCTTCTCCTTGTAATTTGTCCTCCTGTGCATTCATTCTAGAGATTGCTGTGCTGCCATCACGGCACAAATACATTTTCACTTAGACAACGGAATTTGTGTATCAGAGTTATGCTCTGAATTTATACTCGGAGAGTAGCAAGCCAACCAGTTTTGACTCTGTGACCTCTTGATACGTCTGTATTTTTATAGACAGATTGTCCACTTGGCACTTATGTCCACCTAGAACCCAGGTTATGTGTCCATGAACCTCATATGGAAGCCATGCCCAGCACCACCAGGGAATGGGTGATCGCTCCACCCTGGGGTCAGGCCACCTGGCCTGGGCCGAACGGAAATTGTCAGGAGGCAGAAGGAAATTGACTGTACAGTTTGGATCTGCTCAAGTTTCATTTCAGTAAAATTGCATCATGCAGATGAGACATTATGAAGAATTACCACAAAAAAAAAAGGTAAAGAATAATAAATAAGCCTTTTTATGTGTATGTATCAGCCAGTGTGCTCCAGAGAAACAGAACCAGTAGGATGTGTGTGTGTGTGTGTATGTATGTGTGTGTACTGAACAACCAAATCAAACCCACTGCCGTCGAGTCGATTCTGACTCATAGCGACCCTATAGGACAGAGTACAAATGCCCCATAGAGTTTCCAAGGAGTGGCTGGTGGATTTCAACTGCCGACCTTTTGGTTAGCAGCCGAGCTCTAAACCACTGTGCCACAGGAAAAAATATATATACATGTATATAATGTGTGTGTGTGTATTTGCATAGTAAGAGGTTTAGTTTTTTTGGCTTATGCACTGTGGGGGCTCGCAAATCTGAAATCTGTAGGGCAGACAGCTGACTGAAAACTCCCAGTCAGTAGTTGATGCTTCAGTCTTGAGGCGGAAAGTTCTTCTTCCTCAGGGAAACGGTTTTTACACTTAAGGGCTTTCAACTGATTAGATGATTGGATGAGGCCCACCCATATTATTAAGGATAATCTCCTTTACTTAAAGTCAACTGATTGTAGATGTTACCACATCTCCAAAATACCTTCACAGCACCACCTAAATTAGCGTTTGTTGGAATGACTGGTAGTACAGCCTAGCCCAGCTGACACATAAAACTATCCATCACAGCATCCAGTTCACATCCAGTTTATGCCCAATATTCACAGCCAAGAGTAGAAAGACCGTCTTAATCCACCAGGCACAAACGGTAAAGCGCTCCACTGCTAACTGAAAAGTTGGTGTTTCAAACCCACCCAGAGGTGCCTTGAAAGAAAGGGCTGGCACTCTGCTTCTGAAGGGTCACAGCTTGAAAACCCTATGGAGCGGTTCTACCCTGCACACATCGGGTCGCCATAAGTCACATTCGACTTTACAGCACTAGTTTGTATTTTGTTTGTTTGTGTTTGTCAATAAAACAAAACAAATTTGCTCACATTTTTTTCCCTACTTTTTTATAGCATAAGTAATATACGCATGGATTCCATAAAATTTCCCAAGAAATATAGGAGAATAAACATAATACAAGTTGATATTAAGGGAGGGTGAGCAATGGCCAAGAACTGTGTCGAGTGTTTTATTATTAGTTTGTTTCGTCTCCACAACTCCCTAGGAGGCTGGGAGGGTCTAAAGAGCGCAGCACAACACAAATGGACTGACAATAGTGCTCGCCTCTGTTGAAACAACCTGGGCTCCCCTATTCTACAGCACTGTTGGAAGGCTATGGTGTCAACATAGATAACCGTTTAAGGTTTTATTATGATTCAGTGTGTGCAGCAGGTCTGAATCATGCAATGCCAAGAAGAATTTGAGAAGGGGGAAGATAAGAAAGGGAACGTTTGTTATTCAGCATTCGTGCTTTGCCATTGGACATAATATTCAATTTAATTCTTATAAGCACCTCTTTGTATGGAAGAAACTGACTACTGGAGGACCTAATAACTTTCTTAAGATCGCATGGCTAATAAATGTCAATTCCATGAATAAAGACAGATCTATCTCATTCCAAATTCCATAAATATACTTAAATGAACTTTACTGTTGACAACTCTATGTCCATGATATCCCTTATTCTACATGCAAAACCCCATGTCTCGATATGTTCATAAAGTCACCATTAAGGCAATGAATAATGATGACTTCCTACATCATGTAGTACAGAGCTCACATGTCCTCAAACATCCGTTGAGGTGATAACAAGGTTAGGGGTCCTAGCTAGGGTTGGTCACCCAAAGAGAAGCACCATGAGATGAGTCTCCAACTTTTCAGGTATAGTTAGTTATGCCAAAGATCCAAGAGTGGTTCTGTCTCATAGAGATA